GCGGAGGACCCGCTTGGCGGCAGACCATTGGTGGCTCGTGAAGCGACCAGGTGCAACGTAGCGAGATAGGACACTGACTGGATAGGCCAAGTCTGGTCGAGTGCACATCATCGCGTACATGAGGGAACCAACGAGCTCGGGGTAAGCCTCATCGCAGGGCTCAGGTGAGGGAACAGAGGGTGCAGTGAGTTGGTGCTGCAGAGAGAGTGGGGTGGGCATTGAAGCTGCTTCCTGCATCTTGAACCTTGTCAGAACGTTGTTGATGTAGAACTTTTGCGAGAGGGTGATGGTGCGGGCCGTGCGATCACGTGTGATTTCCATGCCCAGATAGTTCGTCAGCTTCCCAAGATCCTTCATGGCCAGCTTCTCACCAAGTGCGGTTTTGACTGCTGCCAGCTCAGTCTGATCCTTGGTGACAAGGATCATGTCATCGACATAAACCAAGATGAAGAAGCGGGATGGTGTTGCTCGGATGAAGAGGCTGGGGTCAGAGGTGGATGGGTGAAAGTCGAGGGACCCTAAGGTGCTCTTGAGCTTGTTGTGCCATTCCCGGGGTGCTTGCTTGAGGCCATATACTGGTCGATTCAGCTTCCATACAGTGCCTGGTGGAAAAGGAGCTGGAAATCCTTCGGGCCGCTCCATGTAGATTTCCTCTCGAAGGATCCCTTGCAGAAACGCAGAAGACACATCCATGCAGTCAACCTCCATGTCATCTCGAGCGGCCACATCGAGAAGGGTGCGCAGTGTGGGAGGTTTGGCAGTGGGAGAGAATGTCTCAAAGAAGTCCAGTCCACGCTTTTGGGTAAATCCCTTGGCACAGTACCGGGCTTTGAAGACAGGAAATTCGCCTGGAAGTTGTTTCACCCGGAAAACCCATTTTCCCTTCACAATGTTGACGCCGGAGGGAGGAATGATATCTGTGAAAGTCCCTGTGTGAATGAAGGCCTCACACTCTGCGATAATGGCCCCTATCCACTGAGCGGCGTTAGGACCAGTAACTGCTTCAGCATAGGTGAGAGGTGTGGGGATGGAGGGGTTGTCTGAGAAGTTGAGGGTGGGAGATTCTGCGATATCTGGAAAGAGAGAGCAGAGCGCGTGTATGGCTGAGTCAATGTCAATCAACTCCTCATGTCTGTCCTCAAGAAGGGAGGGCATGAGCGAATAATCACCCCCGACAGGAGGAGGATTGAGAGAGACACGAATGGAAAGGGAAAGAGGCTTGGGAGTTTTGTGCGAGCGGGTGCGACCAGCGATGGGGGAGGGAGGCGGAGCTGGAGGAGGAGAAGCAGGAGGTGTAGTGGCAGCATCAGGAGCAGCAGCTGAATCAGGAGAAAGAGCCAGATCAGGAGCAGGAGGTGGAGCAGGAGCAGGAGGTGGAGCAGGAGTAGGAGCAGCAGCAGGAGGACGGCGTTGGTAGGTTTTGAGAGGAATGGACTCGGGGGCGGGAAGGAGCGGGGGAGACTGCGTGGTGCTGGATGGGGAAGCGGGTGACGGGGGGTCGGAAACTGTGGAGGGAGCGGGAAGAGGAGGAGATGGAGTGGTGGCAGGAGGAAGGCTGTCAAAGTCAGCCCAAGTTAGAGAAAGAGGAGGAGGAGAAGGAGAAACTGTGGAGGAGGGGTAGAATGGGTGGGATTCATCGAAGAAAACATCTCGGCTGCGATAGAGTTTGTTGGTGGTAGGATGGAGGAAGAGGTAGTCTGGTGAGTCCAAGTTGTGCCCGAGGTACTCGCACGTGATGGTTTTCGGAGCAAGCTTGCCGCCAGCTGCACGACGGGCTTGGGAGTTGAGGAGGACATAGGAAGTGCACCCCCATACACGAAGAGGGCGGACGGACGGTTTTTGACCCGTCCACAGCTCTGCGGGGGTGGTGTGGGTATGGTGAGGATGAGGATGGAGATTGTGGAGGGCGGCAGCATGGAGCATGGCGTATCCCCAGAGAGAGGGAGGGGCGGAAGCATGAGTGAGGAGGCAGAGAGCAATCTGCACCAGGATGCGGTTTCGGCTTTCAGCAACACCGTTCTGTTGAGGGCTGTCTGGGAGAGTGAAGGTCTGTTGGATACCCTCAGTAGAGCAGAAAGCTTTGAGAGTGTTGTTGCGGAATTCACCGCCACCGTCAGAGTGAAGAAACTTGATTTTGGTTTTGAAGTGTGAATGAGCCTGCCTGGCCCATTCCATGATGATGGCTGGGGCTTCAGACTTGGCGGTGAGAAGGTGAACAGACACATAGCGGGAATAGTCATCAACGATGACAAGGAAGTAGAAGTGTCCGCCACGGGAACGAACAGGAGCTGGACCCCAAAGGTTCATGTGTACGCGATCGAGAGGTGCGGTAGAGATGGACTCAGTGGGAGGATGGGGCTGTTCCCGAAGCTTGCTCTGTGCACAGTCAAGGCAAGGCGGTCCAGAAAGAGAGGGGGGTTGTGGAAGTGAGGCGGGCAGTCCATGAAGGAGTTGCTTGGTGGCAAGGTCGAAAAGTGCGCGGAAGTTGATGTGGCCGAGGCGGTTATGAAATAGCATAGTCTTGTCAGTGAGGAGGCGGCAGTGACATGAGGGGGAGTCTGAGGATGGAAGCGGAAGGTTGGTGAGGGAACATGTTTGAACGGGAGGTACAACTAGTGTGTACAGGTTGTTGGAGTTGAGGGTGAAGCGGGCAAGATGGAGTCCGGTTTTGGCGTCAAACATGTCACAGTAGTCAACATCATTGGGAAAGATGGTGATCACGCCTGTGCAAGAAGGTTGTAGCGGAGGGTTGGAGCACAGATGCCAGTGACTGTGCCAGATGGGAATGCTGGACAGGAAACTGTGGAGGAGCCATGGCATTGGATGGAGAAGCTAGAATCTGCTCCAAGGAGTGAGGTGGGAGCCTGGTAGGGAACGAAGGCGGTTTGGTCTTTAAGCACTGTGTGGGTGGCACCACTGTCTAGTATGAACTCGATTCCCTGTGTGGTTGAAACACCGATGTACTGCGACCCCTTCTCATTAATAAGACCAGCGCCAGAGAACAACAGGTTAAGGCGAACATCAGATGGGGCGCTAGCAAATGCCTGAGCAGGTTCCTCCACTGCCTCAACCTGGTTCACGCGACGGGGTGGTGCCCAGTTGGGAGGGCGCTTGTCCTTGGAGACACCATGGACGTCATACCACTCGTCATCTCGCTTCTTGAAGCAAGTGGCCTCAGGGTGGTTGGTGCCGTTGCACTTCTGCCCCGCACGTGGACCCTTCCTAATGAGGTACTGGCATGGGGGAAAGGAGTTGCGCCTCTGGCCCTGCTGGGAACGAAATGGAATGCCAGGGGAGTAGCGCACAGCATTGACTGATGCCTGGGCTGCAAGGTCCTTTTCCGCAGAGAGAAGGGCCGAAGCGACTTTCTCGAAGGTGAGTTCCTTGGTGGGGAGCTGCTTGAGCATGAAACTGGTGACGTTGTAGGCCGGGGTGAGTCCGACGAGAAGCCCAGCAGCAGGTGCCTGTTCGGGGAAGGTGATCCCAATGTCCTTGAGCTCCTCATGGATGTTGCGGATTTCAGAGATGTAGTCTGCCATGCCCGGGCATTCCTCAAGGCGGATTTGGAACATGCGAGGAATAAGGATTGCAACTCCCACGACAGTTTTGTCATGAAAACGATCCTGGAGGTACTTCCAAATGTCATGCGCAGAGCGGAAGGTGCGGTAGGACTTGACTAACTCAACTGGGGTAGTGGTGATGAAAACCCTGATCACTGCCGCATCCGCCTGCTCCCGGAGACTGAAGTCGGTCTCGTACTTGGTGGTCTTAGCATCGAAAGCACTCTTGGCTGTGGGAGTGGCGCCTTCACCGAGAGGATCGGGAGGGAGAGGCATCTTCCCCTTGCCACGGTTGAGGAGGATGTCCTTGAGACAAATCCCCTTGAGCTCTGAGCTAAGGAGGTGCTTCTCCACTCCATAGCACCACTCCCCGAAATTGGTGCTCGTGCCGTTGGGAGCGAGGTTAAGGATGATGAGGTTTCCGACGAGAGTGGAAGTAGAAGTTGCCATTTCGCGCGGAGCGCAGCGCTAAAGTCTCCGATACGTAGCGGAGCGAAGCGGAGCGGAGTTTGGAAATTGAGGTAGTCCGAAACGCGATTTTGGCAATGGAATGCCCGTAATGTACCCTGCTATACTGCTTCGCCGATGCCCCCTGTTCTGCTTTGCTGCTGCCCCTGTTCCGCTTCTCTGCTGCGCCGCTGACCTGTTCTGCTGCGCCGCTGACCTGTTCTGCTGCGCCGCTGAACCTGTTCTGCTGCGCCGCTGAACCTGTTCTGCTGCGCCGCTGAACCTGTTCTGCTGCGCCGCTGAACCTGTTCTGCTGCGCCGCTGAACCTGTTCTGCTGCGCCGCTGAACCTGTTCTGTTGCGCCGCTGAACCTGTTCTGCTGCGCCGCTGAACCTGTTCCGCTGCGCCGCTGAAAACCTGTTCCGCTGCGCCGCTGGACCTGTTCCGCTGCGCCGCTGAAAACCTGTTCGAAGTTAAGAAGATGCGAAAATTTCGACGGAGATTTGAAAAACCAGAGGCTTACGATGAAGGAAGTCGAAAGCTGAAAATGTCGCCGTTGAAAAACGAGAAGCGCGATGAAGGAAGCCGAATGCGCGCTTGACCGGAGCGACGATGTGAAGTTTCTGAAAAACGCTAAGCGTTTGAGCCGGGAGCCGAAATAGGCATAGCCTAGAAGGAGAGAACCATCGGGACGCCAAGGATCGGATTCCGCGTGAGCGGAATTTACTAGCTCTAATACCATGATAGAATTGGAACTTAACTGATTGATTGATAAGGAAGGCACGAGGCCTTAAGTACAAACACGGTTGGGTTGAGCAAAGCTAGGGAAAGGATGGGATGGGAATCCTAGCAAATCTCCAATTGGTGAGTTGGCAGATTTGCAGGATTACGAGGGAATCCCAACCAGATAGGGTTGGGATTACAAATCTACACCCAACCTACAAAGTAACCTAACAGATATAGAATATAGTACAAAGTGTTGACTGACTATTTCTAACAGATATGGCAGGTGGGGTTGGGATATAGCAAGTGGGGTGGGGATATGGCAGGTGGGGTGGGGATATGGCAGGTGGGGTGGAGATATGGCAGATGGGGTGGGGATATGGCAGGTGGGGTGGGTATATGGAGGTGGGGTGGGGATATGGCAGGTGGGGTTGGGATATAGCAAGTGGGGTGGGGATATGGCAGGTGGGATGGGGATATGGCAGGTGGGGTGGCGATATGGCAGGTGGGGTGGGGATATGGCAGGTGGGGTGGGGATATGGCAGGTGGGGTGGCGATATGGCAGGTGGGGTGGGGATATGGCAGGTGGGGTGGGGATATGGCAGGTGGGGTGGGTATATGGAGGTGGGGTGGGGATATGGCAGGTGGGGTTGGGATATAGCAAGTGGGGTGGGGATATGGCAGGTGGGATGGGGATATGGCAGATGGGGATATGGCAGGTGGGGTGGCGATATGGCAGGTGGGGTGGGGATATGGAAGGTGGGGTGGGGATATGGCAGGTGGGGTGGGGATATGGCAGGTGGGGTGGGGATATGGCAGGTGGGGTGGGGATATGGCAGGTGGGGCGGGGATATGGTTAAGTGGGGTGGGGATATGGCATGTGGGTTGGGGATATGGCAGGTAGGGTGGGGATATGGCAGGTGGGGTGGGGATATGGAAGGTGGGGTGGGAATATGGCAGGTGGGGTGGGGATATGGCAGGTGGGGTGGGGATATGGCAGGTGGGGTGGGGATATGGCAAGTGGGGTGGGGATATGGCAGGTGGGATGGGGATATGGCAGGTGGGGTGGGGATATGGCAAGTGGGGTGGGGATATGGCAGGTGGGGTGGGGATATGGCAGGTGGGGTGGGGATATGGCAGATGGGGATATGGCAGGTGGGATGGGGATATGGCAGGTGGGGTGGGGATATGGCAGGTGGGGTGGGGATATGGCAGGTGGGGTGGGGATATGGCAGGGGGGATGGGGATATGGTTAGGTGGGGTGGGGATGTGGCAGGTGGGGTTGGGATATAGCAAGTGGGAAGGGGATATGGCAGGTAATGAACCCCCGAATAGCTCGTGCGGTAGAATTGGTTTTTTTAAGCAGGTTTTTGTTATAAACCCAACGTATTGATAAAAACAGATTTCCACCTTGTCAAATTGTATCTTGTTGTTTTGTTATTTGATCGTTGTCGGAATCTCTCCCCTCTTCTGCATTTCTCGTCTTATGTTGGCTCCTCTCAGTGATGCTTCCTGCGGCCTCTCTCTCTCCCTTCACCCCCTCAAGTTCCTCAGTTCTCTCTTCATGCCTTGGGTCTTTAGCCCAGCCTTTCCCACTTGCCCCCTCCTCGGCTCCAGCTCTGCTGCCTGCTGCCGATGGACCTCCTGGCTGAAAGTCTGTCTCCTGTTATGGGACTCTACGCCCCTTCCTGCCTGCAAGGGCGCTCTCTTGGGCCGGGCCCGCGCCACGTTCGTCTGGTGATCTCGCTTCTCTTGCCCTTTCTCTCCCACCAGCACTACTACGCCTGACTCTTTGACTTCATTCACCCTCCACCGCTCCGTGCTCAATCCGACATCCAGCATGTCATGCCTTGCCTGCTTGACATACACTTCTTCCCCTACGCCCAACCGCTGCCCCTTTGACTCTGCCTGTCCCTCCCTCCGTCGCCGGTATCTCTGCGCGTCTCGGAGCTGAGCCACTTGCAAGTTCTCAAGTGCTGCCGGCAGCATTTCTCTCAAGTATCTGGCCCGCGCTTCGGCCAGCCCCACCCACGCCTCTTCTGAACTGGTGGTGACCACGTCGGTCAGTAGGCGAGGCGCGTCCACTGGTAGGATGGGTTCCCTCCCTAGCAGCAGGTAATAGGAGGAGAAGTCCCGTAGGGCTGCCTGCTTACTGAAGCGGTACCCCGCCACCACCCAAGGCAGCCGCGTGTCCCAGTCTCGCTTAAAGCGCTCTCCATAAGCCCTTAACCCCTTTTTCACGGTCTGCACGAACCTCTCAGTCAGCCCGTCACTCTGCGGATGATACCGTGACGTGCGCCGGTGCGTGATACCACTCTCCTTTAACAGCTTCTCGAATTCTCCCAAAAACTCGGTGCCTTGGTCTGTCAGCACTTCTCCGCAAGCCCCGAATCTAGTCAGTACCTGGTCCTCAAATGCCCCCGCGATCTTCGCTGAACTCTTGCTGGGCAGCGCCTTGACCTCGACCCATTTGCTGCCGTGCTCAATCATTATCAAGATAAATCTCTTTCCTCTCCGACTGAGAGGCATCTCTCCTGCGAGATCTAGTGACCAGCGGAACCCTATCCCTCGGATAGGCAAGGACTGCAGCTCCTCTCTCCCCCTCTCTAGCTCTGCTTTGTTCCTGCTACACAGCTCACAGGAGCCCACCCATTCCTTGATGTCTCCTCGCATCCCAGCCCACCACCAGCCTGTCTCGATTAGCTGACTCGTCCGCAAGCTGCCATAATGCCCCAACTGCCGATGCACTTTCGCTATTATCGCTTCTCGCTCCTCTTTTCTGGGCACCAGCTTCCACCCTTCCTTTGTGTTTTTCTGCAGCTGCTCCTGGTAATCCAGCGCAATGTCTCGGCATCTTCCCAGACATCTTCAGCTCCCCTCTGTGCCTGCTTCCTCGCTCCTTCCCCGTCTATGTCCCGCGCAAGCGCCACCAAGCACGCCTCCGGGCTCATGGGTGGAGGTTTACGCGAGAGCCAATCCACGTGCTGTAGAGTCCTTCCTGCCCTGTGCCGTATCGTGAACTCGTATTCCTGCAGCCGCATCGCCCATCTAGCGTTCCTGCCCGTCAGTGCCTGGTTGGTCATCAGCCAAGGCAGAGGCTGATGGTCTGTAACGAGCACAAATGGTCTCCCCTGCAAGTACACGCGGAAGTGAATAATGGCCCACACTGCTACTAGCCCCTCCCCTTCATAGGAGCTGTAATTTGCTTCGGCAGGGTTACAGATCCTGCTCGCGAAAGCCACGACCATCTCCTGTCCCTCCCTTTCCTGACAGAGGATGCCTCCCATACCCGCACTACTCCAGTCCGTGTAGAGCACAAAGGGGTCTTCCTTGCTGGGCAGGGTGAGGACAGTCCCCGTTTTCACGGCTTTGAGTAACGCTTTGAATGCCCCCTGCTCCACCTCTCCCCATTGCCACGCCTGCTCTTCCCGCAGCAACCGGTTCCGTACTGAGGCGGTGCGGCTGAAGTTGGGTACAAACTTTCGGTAATAATTGAGGAAACCCAGCACGGCCCTCAGCGTGCTACGGTCCTTGGGAGCAGGGACTCGGTCCAGCACCTCTACCTTCGTTTGCTGGATGCTCAGTTGCCCCCCTTGTACCTCGAACCCCAAGTATTTCACCGAATTTGTTCCCGAAGCTGCACTTCTTAGGATGGCAGGTAAGCCCCGCGTCTCTTATTGCTGCCAACGTGTCGCTCACATCCTTCACATGTTGCTCGGCCGAAGCGCTGAACACCACTACATCATCGATGTAACAAGCTGCGGCCGGCACATTCCTCAGCACTGAGTCCATCACCCGCTGGAACAGCACTGAGTCCACCACCTCCGTGGTCAGCTTCACCTGCATCTGGTGGGAGTTGCACTGGCCCAATTCTTGCAGCGTGTAAGCAAAAGTCTTCCGGTGCTGCTTCAGTACCTCCTGCAATGCTCGAGCCGTCTCTGTCCCCATCCCCGCGCCTATGGGCCAGTCATCTTCAGGGCCCCTCTCCCGGTTTGGCTTCTCCGTGAGTAGGTTCTTCTCCCCGTCTGGTGGCCGTACCTCCTGCACATTTACCCCTTCTGGTGCCCCCACCGCCATGTAAGCCCACCCCTCTAGAATCCGCGCCTCCTGCTGTTCTTCTATCTCCCTCAGCTGCCGCCTCCTCCTCTCGGCTTCCTCTTCTTCCTGGTACATCTCACTGAGCTCTATGTCGCGTTGGATCTGCTTCCTTTTTAGGTGCATGCGAATGGTCTCCACCAGCCACACCATGACGTTCAGGTCCATGGCCCTACCTAGCGCTGCCTGTCTCTGAGCTTCCGTCACGCGTGGGTGGGCCGTGTCCCCTAATCGGTGTCCCATGGCTCGCTCCCTTTCTTCTGCCGTGGGTTGCGCCCACCGCTTCCCTCGAACGTCGTAGATCATTCCCGGCCCAGGTAGGTCTCCCATCACGAATCCCCATGCGTCAACGTATGACACGAGCGTCGGCAGCGCCTGCCTCAGCTTCCCCGGCACGTTGCACTGATATTGCGACGGATGGTCTGGGGCCGTAACTGGGGCGGGTAATCGGTTGGGGCCCAGTATGTCACTGACGAGCCTGGGTTCGGGCCGCTGCATTTGAGCTAGCGCATGACGGAGGCTCGCGTCGGAGACCCCGTTCTGCCAGTACCTCCGAGGCCAGTGGGCCCTGGACCCAAGCTGTGCCGCGTCCACCGCCTGCCCTCTTCCCACTGCGGCTTCCACTTCGGCGAAGGCCCGCCGCACAGGTTCCCTGCAATCCTCGGCGAAGTCCACGTTTTCCAAAATGTAGAGTACTTCTCCTTGTTTCCTCTGGACCATCTCTAATACCCGCTTCAGGTCCCTGAAGGAGGCCCCTCGGATGTCTTCCATCCCCATCCCTTCTCCTGCGCGGGAGTAACCCCGACACTCCCAGCCGGCAATGATCACGTCAATCTGCCCCCACTCCTCCAGTTTCTCTTCCGTAATATCGCGCACATCGTTCACCGTCTCTTCTTCTTCGGCGGGTATGGCCGACTCGGCGAGTTGGTCAGGGTACTCTTCCAGTAGCTACATAGCGTGGTGCCGGGCCATCCGCCGCACGACAGGGTCTCGTTCCACGTGTACCCACTTCCGCACCAGGCAACCCGCTCTCAGCACCGCCGCCAGTCCCGTGCCTATGCCCCCATACAACTCCATGACGCACAACGCCCCTTCCAAAGTCCATAGCCTAGTCACCCTTTCCTTCAGTGATTGCGGCTCTTCTCCTTTCCTCCTTCGCTCTATCCGCTATTCGTACTCCTCTGCATATTTCTCCCAGCTCCACTCGCCTAGTTCGGCGCCCAAGTCTGCTTGCCGGGCTCCGTAGCCATGCCCACTAGCACGTCGTAATCTTCAGACTCTGACACCCCGCACGTCACGCGGATGCAACACTCTTTCTCCGTCCCTGGGAGCAGTACAATTTCTATGGGCCCTAGCGTCCGCGGCATCCATTTCGGCTGGCCCCCTTCGGCAGTCATGAGCAGTATCCCTCTCTGTACCATTCTCCCTGGCAGGTCTAGCTTCAGCTGCCTGGCTAGTCCCTTCCCGATCAGTACATGATGCGCGCCGGTATCAATGATAGCCTGCCTCACTGGCAACCCTCCTACCGTCATGCTTCCTTTCTCTGCTATCTGGACGGATGCCTGGCACACCAGTCTCTCATTGGGGTGCCTGCGTAACTCTGACGTGCTGCTCTCTTCGTGGACGTTGCCTCACGGCCCCCTCACGCGGCTCGTGCGGCTCTCGGATGTCTGACTTCCCCGTGGCCGAAGGTCAATTTCATCCCTCTCTCTTGGGAACGCCATGAAACCCCCCGCGCGCAGATACTCTCCTTCGCTTTCTTCTTCTCCTTTGACTTCCTCATAAGCTAGCATCGCACGGGCTTTCGGCTCGACTCTCGACTTAGCCTCCAGCTTCAGCTGTAGTTTCTGGATCTCGGCTTGAAGATCCTCTTTGCTGGGGTTCTCCTCTGATCGACGACGGCTGTAGCAGACCTCGTCCTTATGCCCCTTCCGTCCGCAATTCCCGCACGTCGGCAGTTTCGGGCAGTCCCGCTTGAGATGGCCTGGCTCTCCGCATTCATGGCATCGACGCGCGTCCGTCCGCATCGACCCCCCTTGCGGCGCTTCCACCAGAGCAGCCGCGGCCCAGGAGGATTTCGCCTTGGGGCGGACCTCTCCGTCCTCTAGGTCCAACATCCGTTGCACATGCTCCGTCCATTTCGCCATCCCGTACACCTCCTTGAGTGTGATATCTGCGCCCACGCCGTAGACACTGTTCTGGACCACACTCCTCAAGTCTTCCTCCAGACCCCGCACGAATTTGCGTACGAGTAGTCTTTCGTCCCGACTTTCCAAGTCTTCAGCGAGCTCCTTCAGCCTGCAGTAATAGGCCAGCAGCGACTCGTCTTTTCCCCGGCAGAATTCCTCCACTCTCGCTTTGGTCTGCCCCAGAAACTCTTTCTTCAATAGCTCAATAAAACGGGCCGTTGGATTGTCTATCTCTCCGCATTCCAGCTCCTCTAGCACTTCGTTCCGTGTCATGCGGTAGAAAGCCTCCGCCTCTCCCATCAAAGTCACTACCATTCGGCGGAAGAACTCAGCTGGATCCAGCCCGTCCCTTTCCCAGCAGTACTGAACTGTCTCCAACTGCATCAGGTAGTTTTTCAGCGTGGGGCCCACTCCTGGGATTCCGGTGAAGCGCTCGGCTACTTCCAGCTTCGGGAGAGCCCCACTAGCCCATTTCTTCTTGCTCGGTCGTTCGTGCATGGGGCCAGCCGACAGTAACCCCGCTGTCTGACTTGCCACAATGCCTCGGTTACTCGGCGACCGAACTTCTCCTTCCGCTTGGCGGCGCAACCACGGTGTAGGTTCCTGCGCCCGATCTGACTCCATCCCTGGCATCTTCACCGGAGAAACCATCGCCTGTCGATCTTCCCACCGCGCACGCACTTCTCTGGCCCATCGCAGATCGTGTGGCGTCTCTCCTGGGCCGGATGCGATGTTACGGGGAGGGTCCATTTCTCCTCGACGTTCGCGCTCCCGCTGATGCAGAGTTCGGTACGCCCCGGTCGCAGGGACAAGTGAGTGCGGCGCTTCCGCTGCTGCGGCCGGGTCAGGGTCGGTCGTCGCTGCTGCGCGCCAGCTTGGCTCCGCTAATATATCTTCCTTACGATATCGCTGGCCGGATCTCAATTTAAACCTATCGCTCAGGCTAGCTACGTGTGATATCGTGTCGCGTCCTTGCTTGTTTGTTGAAAGTTCCTAACCAGATCTACTCAACTGGGAACCCTAACTCGGCACGCTGTCTGGCAAGACAGCAGCCAACACTTCAGTGACTTGCTATGATTGGCTCCTCTACGGGCGCATCTCTAGAGGTTTCGCTAGGATCAAGTCTTTTGCTTAAAGTGGAAACAAACAAGCAAGCAAGTGTCATTAACCTAGCAGCTTGCCTAAGTACCATGCTCTGGTTACCGTTGCTAAGCAACGGTCTCGGTCTTTTTGCTACTTTCGCACTCTTCCCGCCGAACTGCATCCTCGGCTCCCGCCTGGTTCTCTACCCCAGTACTCGGTACTATCCTCTGTCTTGTTTTTATATTGTCTCTCCTATCTTCTAGTTCTATAATTAAAAGCATGACATGGTGTACAATTGTTATAACAAGTAAAAGGCAAATATTCGATTTTTGGTCTTAGTCACCCAAGAACACACAATGTAATGCTTTACACCAGCATGATCTTCGATAAACGTTCTAGCCATCATCCCATGACGCCGGCCAGAATTGAACCTTTTCACCAACGTGGAGTTCAGGACCTTGTCATACTCCATTCATCCGCCCTTCTAGGAGCAAGATCCTATGATCTGCCATGCCATCGCTTTCATCATCAGCCGTGTCCTCACAGTCAGCCACGTTGTCCGCCACCATATCATCATCCCCTCAAGGTCCACCGTCTTTCACTTCCAAGTGTTTACAGATGATTTGGCTTCTGCCTCATCGTTCACATCGTTCAAAATCTCCACCCTAACCTTGCCACTGAGATGTGACTCGATGAGATGGTCTTCTTATACATCCACCTCCACCAAGATGCTGCATTTGGAAAATGTATTCCTCACCAATTCCTCAAGGACAAATTCACAGGCCTCAGTAATCTAACGAAGTACCATCTCCGATGGCTGCTGTTGCAGGTTTTCTGTTAAGGATGGGCATGAGAAGGCACTGGGTTAAGAGCAGAGTCAGTGGTTCGAATCCGTTCTTACTCATATCCCAGCACTAAACTTTCCATTCTGGTGGCGTACCTGTACAGCAGCCTCCCGTGCCGTCAGAGTATCCTCTACTACCATAGCCTCTACGGGGTTGACCATGGTGGTCTAAACGGCTGCTGAACTAATAACGACTTAGTTAACGTGCAACGATCAGTCTAATATGCAAGTTTATCACGGGGCCGTCCATGCTCACCGCACCATGCGGAGAATCACTGTACAACGGTTGCTGGATTACGAAGAAACTACGGGGTTGTACGAAATGATCGGAGCGTTGCTATCGCTTGTGCAAGTTTGTATGTTCATGGGAACAGTTGGCAAGAGTTTCATTCACTATGAATCAAGCAAGTTGATATAGCAAGGATGGCATTGTAACACCTTAGAAAGCATTCTGCAAGGCGACCTGCCAACATAGCATACGAGTGCTTTGCTAATGCTGCAGCAGGGCGACTTGCCAGCGTTGCACCCAAGGCGGTATGCCAACACTACAGTCACTGGTGCGCATCTGAAACACCTACCAAGTTGGTGCAGGTTGGCGGTTGTGTGACGTCGTCCACGCAATAGACACTGCATAGGTGCCAGGTTGAACACATGTCGACGGTTGCACCATATGTACATTATGAAGCACGCAATGCCATTCCGCGTGTCGACTTCGCAAAAACCACATGCGACAAACCTCGCGCACATGCAGGTCAACCACATTCCGCCTACCAGCTCGATGCTGCTCTGGCGACCAGCGTTCGCCGAGACAATGCTCGTCGACTAGCACTTGTCTACGAGCTTATCGATCAGCGCTCATCGGCGGGTTCGTCGACGACCACTCCCGTCGACATACTAGTCGAACAGTGGACAGGCTCGTCGACGACCATTCTCGTTGACCAGCAAGGTCCGTCGTTGACAACAAAATCCCGTCGAGCAGGGGAGGGCCTCGTTGAGAATCAATGTCGTCGAACGGCGAAAGCTCATTTGACGACCACTTCGTCGTATCAACCCTGTCGATTTCGAAGTTGTATGCGCCCAAAGGAGGGCCTCTACACGAGAAAGGCGCGAATAACATCCCCACCTAGCTAAGTCCCGCGTTATATCTTTGCAATTCCTCCCTTCTTGCTTATTAGTTGTAATCATAGTTTCGTTAGTAACTTCCGTCTACGCCTTCTCACTCATAACAGATGCCACCAATTTCCCTCAAACGCGTCCGTTCCGTACCTGCCAGTGCCAGTACACAGAACCCACACTTCGGTTGCCGTGCCGTGTTCCCCAAGGCAGGCAATTCACCAATGTGGGCTGGTGGCGTCTACGAAAGCCAGATGTGGGCGCAGCGCCTCACCTCAGCGCATTTGAACTGACAATAGGCAGAGCGAGCATCGCGACCGTATATTCAACCCATCCAAGCCACAGGCCGTTCGATCTTGTCAGGCCAGTTCAGCTGGCAGTGAGGCGGGCGCGTCATGCAAGTTCAACATATTGCGGTGAAGTGCGATGCTGTAGATGTCATTTACTATTCTCTGCGTTTAGATAGGGTTTTTGAGGATAACTGATCCCATGTGACACAATCTGACTTCACCATCTCCTCACTCACTCAGCTCTACTCCTCCGAACCTGCAGCTCATACCCCAAGCTCTTTCGAACTGGCCTCACCTCCTTCCCGTCCTTCACTGCATCTCTGACAGAATGGATTCTGTCCACTGCGTTTCCTCCGCGGATCAGTCATCCACTCGTTTCAAATCCTCGATCTTGTACCGCTTAATGTCCTTGAGGTGAGATCCGTCGTTCAACAGTAAGAAGCTTATCACGGTTAGCACGTGTTACAATGGAACATCCATCACCCGTTCGCGCGGATCGCGATCGCGACCGTGATTGCGTAGAGCTCTCCGCGGAATCCGCTTCCGCCACGTCCATCCTGGACGACGGCACGCTCTCCCTCGTGCTCTCCTTCCTCCCCTTGCGCTTCGCCATCTCTTCGGCCGCCTTAGTCTGCCGCCGCTGGTGCCGCGTCGCGCTGCGCGTGTGTGTGCGATCGCTCCGACCGTCGCCGTTCTTGCTCGAGAGCATAGCTCCGGGAGCTAATATCATCCTAGGTAGCTTCGACTCCGAAGCGCAGATGCTTGAGTTGGCGACGCGGTTCTCCGCCACGCTTCGATCTCTGGAAATCCGGCCCGGCGCGAGAAACTTAATTGCCGCTGACAACGATAAGCTGACGGCCCACGGCATTGTGCGAATCCTTGAAACTGCCTCGAAGCTCGAAACCCTATCTCTGATCGGTTGCGTGGAGAGGAACTGTCCTACATTCGACTCGCTACCCATGAGCAGTTCACAGTTTGCGACGGTGGTGTTACCAGCCCTGCCACGTCAGCTCAAGCGCCTGAATCTCCGCTCGGACCATTTTCTCTGCCCTGCCGCGTGCGTGGACCTGCGGGGGTTCTGGTTAAGCCCGTGTGAAAATCACGAGATCACATACCCGAGCCATGGTCGCGTGTGGGGCCACGCGGACGGCCTTCAGCTTGCCGGCTCCTCCACCATCCCACCTCCGCAACCCCCACCCCCTCCGCGTGCCCGTGCGCCGCCCCCGCCTCCTCCCCCTCTGCCACCCCCACCCCCTCCGCGTGCCCGTGCGCCGCCCCCTCCTCCTCCCTCTCGCGCCGTTCCTCCCCCACCTCCTTCCGTTCCTCCTACTTCTTCTGTCCCTCTCGCTCTACCTCTTCCCTCCCGTCTCCTCCTCCTCCGCCTCCCCCACCTCCTTCCGTTCCTCCTACTTCGTCTGTCCCTCCTCGCTCTACCTCTTCCCTCCCGCCTCCTCCCCCTCCGCCTCCCCCACCTCCTTCCGTTCCTCCTACTTCGTCTGTCCCTCCTCACTCTACCTCTTCCTTCCCGCCTCCCCCCCCTCCGCCCCCCTCCCCTCTCCGCCTCCCCCACCTCCTTCCCCATCTCATCTCCCGCCTCCTCCCCGTCCGCGCGTCTTGCACCCCCTACCACCTCCCCGTCCGCGCCCCCCGTTCCCCCCACCGCCTCCGCCCCCACCGCCTCCGCCCCTCCGGCCTCCCCCCATCCGAAACCGTCCGCCGCAGCGCTCCTTCCTTACCGACCTCCACGTGAACACCATTGCCGCCTCGGTTCCTAATCTCCGCGCCTTAAACCTCAACATGCCAGCGGACATCTCGGCCGCGTGTGTCGAGCACGTGGCCAGCACGCTCCCGCGTCTGACGGCGCTCTCGCTCTGGTCCGACGCGGTCACGTGGGAGTCGGTCGCGCTGCTCCTGGCGCTCCTCCCGTCGCTGCGCCGCCTCTCCCTCGTGTCCGCCGCCTTGGTTCCGCGCGCCCCGCCCCAGCCAGGGCGCACAGCGGCGGGTGCAGCAACAGCGCCGGATACGTCAGCGCGTGCATCAGCTGGGCCAGATGCAGTGCGGTCGGATGCTCTATCTCTCTTCTCCTCGCTTTGACTTTCCCCCCCCAGTGCCGACGACCCCTTCTGGTGCCCCTCAGGGTCATCCCTCGCGCCCTGCCTCGCCTCCATCCGCCTGTGCCTCTTCCCCCATCGCTCCGTCGCCTGGCATCAGCCTCCTGCTTCCTCGCTGCTGCTCGCCCTCGCTGCTCACTGGAACACACAAGGGAACCAGCAGCAGCAGCAACAGCGGCGGCAGCGCAACAGTGCCAGCCTTTCCGTCCCACGTGCATCCTCCCCCTCTCTGCGCGCCATCCACGCCCACAACTCCCCCGCGTCCACGTGGCTGGCTGTGAGCCACCTGTTCCGCCACCTCACCACTCTGGATTTGTCCCGAACCGACGTGTTGCGCTCCCCACCCCCTCCCGATGGCGAGCCGGAGAGGAGCGAGGAGGCGCTGTGCGGGGCCATTGGGGGCCTGCCTCTCCTGGAGCGCCTGGCCCTCCCCCTGGCGTCAGACGCGGTTCTGCTGGAAATCTCGCAGTTTTGCCCGAAGCTCACCGCCTTGCACGCCCAGCCGCTAACTCGGTTCGTCCCTGTTGCCTCTGCTGAGGGAAGTGGCACCAACGACTTTCTTTACTACACGTCCTCCTATGCCAGGGCCTCCGTGCGTGTTGCCCTTCCTCCTGTCCAGCCGCGAATGACTGATGCATAATTGTATCTAGGCTATATTGGGGCTAGCCTTAGGGGGTACACAAATAGTCTCGACACTCTAGTCTTGTACCCCAATCTTCACCTAATCATCATTCTCGTTCCCTAGCTAGTGATTCTAACAGCCACCAGTCCATGGCGGGGCCCCTTAGCAGCGAAACGGCATACCGAATCTTCGCTGCGTCCGACTCGACGTAATTTGCGTCGAAGAAGACGTTCATCGTGAAGACCCACGATTGAACTGTCGGACCTCCACGCTGACTCGGGTCAAAACAGGGCGGGCGTTGCGGCTTGAGTGGCATTGGTGCCATAATGGCTTGTTCGCCACTTGTCGCCGCGAACTCCACGTGCCGACGGGCTTCGCGAGGCTCCCGCGGGCTTGGTGCGGCCCTGTTTCCTCCCATGCCAGGCATCGGCTGGGTCGTGCCATCACTGGCTGCGCCTGAGCGCTGTCCCATGCTGTTGTTGTGTGTGGGTGTGCCGGACGAAATGACGATCGGCTCGTCCGATTGTGCAGATGCGTTTGTCGGTGCGTGTGGTGGTGCTGGAATGTTTATCGTTGATTGCTGACGCGCGGAGTCACGTTCTGCTGTGAGCGTCGCAATTTCGAGCGCCGAATCTTCGAGTTGGCGCACCAGGCGGTCGAGCTGCTCCTGCGTCAATGTGGCGAGCGTGATTTCGGCCATGGCGGGGGTGTCGGGCGAGCTCAGCGGGAGCCTCAGTCGTGGCCGTGCGTGCTTACGAGAGAGCACTACGAGCGGCGGTGCTGTATCGCTGAGAGACGTCTACCCCCCCCAAAAAATTGAGATAGTGGGGAAGCGAAGGTGTGGGTGCGGTCCGAGAAGAGATCGTAGGCTCTGAATACCAAGTGTTACGGGTGCAATTGAGTGAACGAACGAGAATTGCACTATCGAAGCAAGAGTACAATGAGCGAAGGCATGGGCGAAGAATATATAGCGAAACTACAGTGGTACCGGTAATGGACTGTGGTTGTCGCGCGACGGGCCTGGAACTGAGGTTGGGGAAAGTGTCGAAGCGGAGGCCCGGAGCGCAGGTTACCCGCTGAGCCGTGAGGTCGGGGTGCGACGTGCGAAAGTGGCGGGCGGATTGTCGATGCGAGGATTGCGAGTGGTAACGGTGCTGACTGTGGTGCTACAGTGATGTACGCGTTGAGCAGGGATGCGAAGTAAGGAAAAAGGGATTTTCCTTACACTACCCCCCCCCCTAAGGAGGTTCTCCTTACGAAAGTGCGTGTACATCCCTGAAGTTTTGGCTGCGCAGATACTCGGTGAGGACGGGGTGGTTTTCGATTCTATCCAGGGGAACCCAATTATCTTCGGTGGGTGTACGGTCTTTCCAGCGAATCAGGAATTCGATCCTTCGGGCTCCTCGAGGGTCACGGACTCGGTGGCTTAGGATTTTTTGGGGGTGATGGTTGGTTCGGTTGGCGGTCGTGTCATGCTGGCGGGGCGATTGCGTGGCAGTTGGCTCGTGGACGGGACGTAAGGGCGGAGCAGGCTGACGTGGAACGAGGGGCTGACGTACCAGTCAGCAGGGAGGAGAAGGTGGGCGGTGACGGGTGTGAGCATGTGGCTTATGCGAAATGGCCCACAGTATCGGAGGCGGAGTTTTGGGGTAATGGGCAGTCGGAGATTCTGGGTGTCGAGCAAAACTAAGTCGTCGGGCTGGTAAGTGATAGGTCTGCGGTGGCGGTCGGCGTTACGTTTAGCGATGATGTTAGCTTTTTTAATTGCGTCTGCTGCCCTGGTCCGTGCTGCTTGCAAAATTTCGGCAAACTGTTGCGCGCGTGGAACCGGGTTGTCGGGGTTCGGGGTCATGGGTACTGTTGGGTCTTGTCCGTAGTTCAGGTAAAATGGTGACTGTTGGGTCGTGGCGGATGGGGCGTTGTTATATGCGAATTCGATGAGCGGCAGTTGCTGTTCCCACGTGTTTGGGTCGTCGCACGTGGCCCGGATGAGCTGTTCCATGGTCTGGTTTGTCCGTTCTGTCTGTCCGTCTGTTTCGGGGTGGTACGATGAACTAAACTGTAGTCGCGTGCCGAACTGCTGCCACAGGTTCCGCCAGAAGTTGCTGGTGAATTTCGTGTCTCTGTCGCTGATGATTGATGCTGGTATCCCGTGTAGTCGAACGACGGTGGAGATGAAGAGGCGGGCTGTTTCTTCGGCTGTGATTGATTTTTTGCAGGCTGCGAAATTTGCCATTTTTGTCAGTCGATCGACGACGACCAGGATCGCGTCATTCCCACTCGTCCCAGCCGGTAACCCCGTGACGAAGTCCATCGTCACCTGCTGCCAAGCACGCTCTGGGGGTGGGATCGGCTGCAACTGTCCCGCCGGCCGCTTCCGTGATGACTTCATGACCTGGCAAGTGGGACACGATGCCACGTGTCGCTGCACGTCGGTCAACATTTCGGGCCAGTAATAATACCGCTGCAGCTGCTGCCGTGTTTTTTCTACCCCGAAATGTCCCGAGGTAACCCCGTCGTGTGCCTCCTGTAATAGTAATTCCCGTAGTAGTGTGTACCCTGGTACCCAGATGCGGTCGGTCCCTGCTTTTACGTAATAGACTCCCTTGGCTGCTGCGAACTGCTGCAAATTTCCTCCTGTGAAGAATGGGTCTGTTTGATATCCGTGGGTAAATAGTCCTGTCAGTAGCGGGCTGGTCTGGGCGAGTAGTATCGCGTGGATTTCGGCAGTGGGGCGGGTCAGTGCGTCGGCGATGTTCGAGGCTCCTTTTTTATGGGTGACTGTGTAGTGGAAGTTTGACTCGAGGAAATCGAGCCAACGAATCTGTCGTGGGTTGAGGTGGGGCTGTGCGCGGAGGTACTGTAGTGATCGGTGGTCTGTCCGTACTGTCACGTCTGCGCCGGTCAAGTAGCAGCGCCACACTTTGAATGCATGCACGATCGCGAGCATTTCGCGGTCGTGTATCGGGTAATTTCGCTCGGGCGGATGCAGTTTTCGTGACTCGTATGCGATGGGCTGTAGGCCGTTGCCGAAGTCCTGTAGCAGTACGGCTCCAATGGCGATGTCGCTCGCGTCTGTAACAACCTCGAAGGGGCGGTGTGGGTCGGCGATGCGCAGGACGGGCGGTGAACAGAGAACATTTTTTAGGGCAGAGAAGTCAGCGGGGCAGTCAACTGTGCCATGTCGGGGACGAACCGACGCACATAATTAACGAACCCTAAAAAACTCTGCAGCTCCGTGATGTTTGTCGGGGGACGCCACGCTTTTACCGTATCCAGCTTCTTTGGGTCGATTTCAACTCCAGCCTCCGAAATAACGTGCCCCTGAAATTCTAACCTATCCTGAAAGAACTCGCACTTGGAACCCTTGGTCAGTAGGCGATGTTCGTCTAAAACCTTAAAAACCGCTTCCAGATCCGCTAAGTGCTGCAGCTTGTCCCGACTGTAAACTAGGATGTCATCGAGGTAAACTATGACGCATTTATCTAAGAGCGGCCTAAATGCCTCGTTCATGGTCATCTGAAAAGTCGCCGGTGCGTTGGTTAGCCCGAAGGGCATCACAGTGTATTCGAACGACCCGTACCTAGTCCTAAATGCTGTCTTGGCGCAGTCCGATGGTTCGACCTGAATCTGATGGTAACCCCCCCGTAAGTCTATTTTCGAAAATACTCGTGCTGTTCGCAGTTGGTCGATCAGTTCGTCGGCGCGGGGAATGGGGTATCGCGACTTGGCTGTTACCCTGTTCAGTGCTCTGTAGTCGATACACATGCGAAAGCCCCCGTCTTTTTTCGGCGTGAACAGTATCGGTGCGGCGAATGGTGACGAGCTTGGCCGGATGAACTTTTTCTCTAACATGTAATCTAACTGCTTCCTTAGTTCGTCGAGCTCGGGCTGTGTCAGTCTGAACTGGCGCTGTACGGTTGGCTGTGCCCCTGGTTCTAATTCGATTCGGTGGTCATGTGCTCGCTGAGGTGGCAACCCTTCCGGTAAGTCGTCGGGAAAAATCCCGGGGTACTGTTTCAACAGTTCCTGTAATTCGGGCGGTACAGCTTCCAGTAGTTTCTTGAAATCGCTCGGCTGCTCCGCTTCCTCTACTACTGCGATATCTACTGCGTACACGTCAGCTCCAGCAGCGACAGCCCATTTCATTGTGATGGCGTTGACGTGCACCGTTGAAGACTCGGGCGACTGCCAGCGAGGTAGTTGGACCCAGTTACCACCACTTCGCACGGTGCAGCTACCCGTCGTCCAGTCAATTCGTGGGTTATACCGTCGCAGCCAATCGCGCCCCAGTAAAATGTCGTGCCCATCCAGTGTTGTCGCGAGCATTTCCTGTGTAAACCCAAAATTTCCCCCGCAGCGGACTTTGAATCTCTCCACCTTTTCCCGTATGGCCAGCGGCGTGCCGTCGACTAAGCGTGCGTCTATCTTCGGTAAGCAACGGCTAAGTGTCAGTTGCAGTTTTCATGCGGTTGCGGTATTAACTAAGCTGTGGCTCGCTCCTCCGTCAATAAAAATCTTCACTGCTGCTCCCTGTATTTTCCCGTGGATCAGTACTGGGCAATCCGTCGCTGTACCCTCCTTATTCATCCGAGCCCGATCGACGGCGTGAATCGGTACTGTGACTCGGTGAGGGTCGGTGTGGTTGGGCGAGCAGGCAGTCTCGTCAGTAGTTGGCCCAACTTCTACTGACTGCTGGCGTTTCCCTGCCTCTGAGACTCCCTCCCCTGCTCTGCTCCGCGGCGCCTTAGCTCCTCTGGGCATTCGCTCTTGCGATGGCCCGGCCTGTTGCAAGCAAAGCAGCGCCCCTTAAATGGCGTGGCAGCTGCATTTGTCGAAACGGCGTTCACAGTGGCGTGCTCGATCGGTCCCCGAGGACGATGTCCGTGGTAGAACCCCGGTCTCGGTCGACGTAGGATGTCGATTTTCTCGGCGAGCGCGAGAATCTCGTTGAAATTCGAGAGCCCGCGTAGCATGATTTCGTGCGAGATGTCTGGTTTTAGCCCTCCGACGTAACG